CAAATCCTCCAAAACAGTGATTCCCCCGCGCGTGGGGGAATTGGGCAATGTGCGGGAACCACAATTTTGGCACTGACTTTAATGCTCAAATCTACCAAAATGGTGATTCCCCCGCGTGTTTGGGGAGGGCCTGCGGGAACGTTCGAAACAAGGTCTGCCTCCAGTAAGTGGGGCGACGCACGGGAATCACCATTTTGCTGTTTTCACAGCCCAAATCCTCCAAAATAGTGATTACCCCCTGGGGGCACACAGCAATGCGCGGGAATCAACATTTTGGCACTTTCAAAGCTCAAATCCCAATGTCCGAAAAAGAAATCTGCCGCCACACGCGGGAGAATCACTCTTTTGGAGGACTTCAGGCTGCCAAAATGGCAACATGGTGATTGGCGCGCGTACCCCCCTCCCCCCTCTCCCGCCACACGTGGGAGGATCAGTATTTTGGAGAATCTAGGCGTTGAGAATGGCCAAATGGCCACGCATCGCGACTGGGTCGAAATACAACCAAACGGGGGAAACCACAAGCGCACGGTGGAAAACACAACCCGGCGAAAATACAACTAGCTATTGTGGTGCATTTATGAGTTTGGACATTCTCTGCAGAAAATCCATGGTACAGCCTTCAGGTTCCAGCACCAAACCTAGATAAAGGTGGTTGTGATTCGTCCCTTCTCCTTGCGCCCTAGCACGAATGAGGACTTAACATGATTATTTGGGTATGCTTTCGGTATTTAGGTACGAAAGGCATGTAGGCAATACTTAACATGCTTATTTCGGTTTGTATTTTCTCGGTCACGTAGGTACGAACAGCGTAGCCAATGCTTAACATGACTATTTCGGTTTGTATGCTTTCGGTCGTGTAGGCGCGAAAGGCATGTAGGCAATACCCGGCTGATGCTGGTACGTGCTGATGCTGCTGATGTTTCCTGCTGCTGCTCCTGCTGCTGCTGCTGCTGATGCCTTGTCGTGGTGAGGAGAGGTTTTCATGCCTGTCGTGGAGAGGTTTTCACCCTGTCGTGGTGAGGTGTTCATGCCTTGTCGTGGTGAGGTTTTCATGCCATGTCGTGGTGAGGTTTTCATGCCTCGTCGAGGTGAGGTTTTCATGCATTGACTTGGTAAAGTTGATTTTCTGTGTCAATATTTATTCTTATGGCATGGATTCTTTTTTGCTGTCGTGGTAACAAGTAGTAACTAGCAAAAATCATATCAACAACAAGAAGGATGAGACAAAGAGCGAAGCCAGCTAACCAACAACTTGCGGCGGTTTGGCTTGTGAGTCTGACTGTATTGACAGTATCGAATCGATGTGGATGCAGATGTTGAAATCCTTCAGCAAGCGCATGATGCCTCGATTACCGCAGCAGGGCTCTCAGGGGTTCGATTTTCGGCTGCACGCTGCTGCACCCGCCACACAGAAACCCAGCTGTTGAGCGGGCGCTGAGGTTTGTACCTGTTGACATCAGCCGGACTTGTGGCGCATATTCGAAGCTGCGGGAGCATGATGAGGCTCGAGCTGCTATTGCGATGCAATTTGCTGCCAGCCTTGGAGGCGTGATTTGAGGCTAGTAAGCGACAGGTGCTGTTCCGCCGAATGGCCACCGAAATGCCCTGTTCCGAGAAATTCCTTGTTCAGTCCACAATGGACGCATTGTGGGTCTGAGGCCGCACAAGCTTCCCCTTTTTGAAGGATACCAGCTTGGAGTGGTTTGGAGCTAGGATGTAACGGCAACCCACGCAATGTCGTCTCCCAGTCGTGCCTTTCGTGACGTTGAGGTTGCCAATGCCTATGCTCGTATGGACATCCGAGACGACCTGCTTTTTGATGATATCGCGGACGAGGCTTCATGATTTCCGGCTGCTCCCCCCACACCAAACAGTCAACGGGGAGGTTCTTCGTCGACCGCATGAACTGAATCATGTGTCAAGCTCAGAATCTGGGCTTGACTCCGTCCATGTGTCGTTGTGCGTCATGGTCCCATACCTGGAAATGGCCACTGCGGGGGATCCTATAAAAGTTGACAGGTAACCTTGCTGCTTCTGGCGAATGCATTTGCACACTTCAAGATTCGCGTGCTGCTCAGATGCTGCGAATTGCTCGTTTGCGAATGCTCCAAATGCCGAATGTGAGCCGGGATCGGAATTTTGGGAAGGACACAGTCGCTTGTGGCCGGTTCTGGCAGAGTGGTGCCTGGGCAGCGCCAAAACATGACCTCCTAGGCCTTTCTGTACTTGTGATCAGTGGCAGCTCAGGTTACTGGAAGCGCAGCTGGACTTTCAGGCACAGGCCGGAAGCAGACAGTTGGTGCTTGCCATGTCCAGAAAAGAGAAACTAGTGCAACAAGACGCACTGCGAAGAGGCCCGCTGGGTTCCAACAGCTTAAGCTGCAACGCCGATCTCAGCACTTTTTGTGTTTGGTCGTTGTTTTAAACCGTGGCCGAGCACCTCGCTGGAAGATCTGTCAACTTTCTCTGCCACGTGCTCGGGAACCTTGAACTGCTCCAGCTCACTTTAATGCCAACGAATAGCTTGGCGGTGTTTTCTGCCCTCCCCTTGTGCTAGCTGCTGTGTCCGCCTTCCATGTTCATCCTCGCTGCTGCTGGGGCTCCCGGAGTACTACACGGCTTCTGCAGGATATTGGCGCAGTGCTCAATGCACTCAGCGCCGTCGACTATCTGGACGAGGCAATAGATTGTGGGCCATGCCCTGCCCTGGCACTTCGACATCGTGTCGACGATTTCTGCCGACTCCGTGCGTGGGAGGCGCTTCTGCGAAGTCTGCTTGCAAGCCTCTCAGAGGCCAAACGGAGTGCAGCAAAGGGCCGTGCCTTGTGCGAAAAGCTGCGAAGCAGGAGCCGCTGCTTTCAGAAGCCACGCCAGCAACGCTGTGCGCGTGCCTCGATGTGGCTCTCTACCCGACTGTCTGGTCTGGGGGGAAACTGCGGCCTAAAGCTGAGGTCTAGTCTTCAATGCACTGGACCCTCAGCTGCTAGAAGAGAGCAACGAAAAACTTCCGGTAAGCACAGCCCATCCAAGGGTCGACTGCGGCGCCCGCAGCCGGCTGATGTCGAGGCGGTGACTTGCACTCAGACTGCGTTCCCTCTAAGTTGAGAAATGAGTATCACGCGCGCCGCCGAACTCCGAAATCCAGAAGCGACGTGCAGGGGCGGAGTGATGATGTAGCAGAGATGGATCGGTGCAATTTATATGGGTCAATGAGCATGCACCGAGAGAGCAGTCCAAAGCAACAGAAGCAAGCTTCTTCCTGTTTTGAAACGGGCTGTGACTTGCCGCTGAAAGTCTCTCTTCAGGCATCCTGCCCTGGGTTGCAAGAAACAACATTTGTGACCAGCCTTGCGTATTGTGGATCTGGCGAAAGACGCTTCAGGCATTGGTGGATGACGAGTGTCCATGAGTGTCTGAGCGTTCAGGCTGTGCGCGCCGTTGCCGTACTGTCTCAGCAAGTTTCAACTGGGCCGGGTCCTCAGGGCGACCCTTTCAGAATCCGCTGCTCAGTGCTTTACCGAAGGTTGGACTCTCTTGGTCCGCCCAGCTTAATGCAACTTCTTCATGCCTGCGCCAGGCAAATGCCCATGAGAATGTTCGAATCGGGTAGCACTGCATGAATGCTGGCAGATGGAAACCCTTGCGATCCCCAGATCTGACAGAGGCCAGCTTGCCCGCCTTGCGTTTAATGCAAGTTCAGTGCTTGATGTGCAAGGGCATTCTGCAGAACGTCAGCCAGAGGATCTCACAGTTTCAAGCCCAGCGAGATCCTCAGCAGACTGGCCTAGGGCCACGCAGAGCTTCCTGAGCTGCAGGTCATTGTGCCTCCTCGTGCACTCCTGCTCGCGGCTCCAACAGAGGGATGTGGCGCTCCCAGCTTGGGGCCGTGGTGGAAGGTGGAGGGCCCGTCGCCATCTGCAAGGTGCGGCTGCTCACGCAGGTCGCCAAGGCCATGGCGCGGGAGCCTCATTGCAACGGCCCTGGTCTTATCCCAGCATGGGCAGATGCACTTCAGGCCGCAGCTGTCTCAGTTCACACCCCAGGCCTGCGAGCCGGCTTTTAAGTGCTTAGTGCTTACGTCTTTCTGCGAAGAGCTCTGTGTGTGCATGTGTCTCCGTGTCTGTGTCTGTGTCTGTGTGTGAGTGAGTGAGTGAGTGAGTGAGTGAGTGAGTGAGTGAGTGAGTGAGTGAGTGCGTGAGTGAGTGAGTGCGTGAGTGAGTGAGTGAGTGAGTGAGTGAGTGAGTGAGTGAGTGTGTGAGTGTGTGTGTGTCTACGTACGTGCGCGCGTGTGTGTGCGCGTGTGTGTACGTGTCTCTGTGTGTGTTTGTCTGTGAACTGTCCTCGATCATGGGCTAATGGAGGTCACTCTCCATGCTGCACAATCGCGTTGCACTAGGACATCCAGTTTGTGCAACGCCAGACAATCTAATTTCAGCAGTGGCGTGCAGCATCTTTGGCATACTGCACGCAACGAAGCTATTGCCAAAGGTGGGAAGGGTATCAAGGACGCTTGATCCTGTACCGGCACCGAAGTTTGTGACATCCTACTCCTACAAGCCCTATATGGTGCCATCATGTGATATCGTCGCGGGGCAAACACAGTTCCAGCAACGAGCTCGCTACGGCCTCAGATCAGCAAGCCTTAGGACAGCATGTTCATGTCGGTGACCCGCAGCCTGAAGTGATTTCCATGCACAGTCACCACAAGTTGAGCTGTTCGTGGAACAGCCGTCCCACAACACTGTAACGCACCATAAGGTTTGAGATAACTAAATCCACCCGATAGTGCACCTAACACTTCATCAGTGTGTGTGTGTGTGTGCAGCTTCAGCAAGGGACGTGAACCAGCTTGCCGATGTTTCCGGCAAATACGGGGTTCCCCCATTGGGAATCAAATAAGTCCTGCGCTGTGCGACTTGACCGTGAGTGTTGAGGAAGCTATGTGGGCCGCAAGCTTTGATGTTGCAAAAGTATCCTGAAAACCCGTAGCAAACATTTCCTCAAAACCCATGTATTGATTTTAAAAAAATTTGGACAACCGTTTCCTGGTGTTTCCAAGGGGTTTCCTGCAGAGTCATGCATTCCAGTCTCTGGTGAGCCCGATGTTCTATGTGATCCCGTTATCCTCGAGGCATGCGATGCTGGGGATTTGTTGGATGCATGGTGGATATTGAAGCTGGAACAGTGGAGTTGTGCATTCCGAATTATCGACCGATCAACAGTGCAGGATATCGCAGGTTGAACTTGCAAGTTTTCAATCGCGGTGATGCTTTACCAAACGGCCAGATTTCCAAAGGTGCCGGCTCATGTGTGTGTTGCAAGCCCTGATGCGAAGGGTACTAATTAATTACATAGACTTGCGAAATGTTGTTTGATGTTTCTGAGTTCGCTCTTCATGCCGATCGTCGTAGTGTTGTGTATTGCCAACGGCATCAAGACAGTGTTTCTCCGCAGGGGGCACCTGGGGGCAGGGAGTGTAGACTTATTCAGGAACTGTTCCCGCAATTCCGGCACAGAATTCAGGAACTCACTGTCGCAATTCGGGCTGGGGTAAGGCGACTGACAGGTCAAAATTCGGGAACCGCGGTGCGCGCGTAGAGAAGCAGGGAGTCGCAATTCAGGGCCTGTGCCTGCCGGCTGTGCGTGCCGGCTTCACAAGGTTTCGGGCTTAGGGTTTCGGCCATACGGTTTAGGTCGCTGGCTCTGGCTTTCGGGTTTCGGCTTGCGGGTTTCGGCCTTATGGTTTCGGCCGTAGGGTTTCGGCCTTATGGTTTCGGCCGTAGGGTTTTGGCTTCCGGGTTTCGGCTTCCGGGTTTCGGCCTTATGGTTTCGGCCTGAGGATTTCGGCCCTATGGTTTCGGCCCTATGGTTTCGGCCTGAGGATTTCTGCCCTATGGTTTCGGCCTTATGGTTTCGGCCTTGGCTTTCGGGTTTCGGCTTCCGGGTTTCGGTCTTAGGGTTTCGGCCGTAGGGTTTCGGCCTTAGGCTTTTGTCTTTCGGGTTTCGGCCTTAGGGTTTGCTTGCCGCCCACTTACCTCCGTACCCATTTCGCACAGAAAATCTGAGCACACCTACAACACTTAGGTCTAGTAATGACAACAACAATAATGGCAATACTTCAGTACGACAGATACTGCCGACATTAACAACAACATCATCGTAACAGTGGTACTAAGAATGCTAGTAACAGTGGTTGACCGAGCATTGACTGCAAACCATTACAATTATAATCCCACATTGACACCTGTTACGTGTGTACGGTCACAGGGTTGAAGCGGCAGCGCTCCGCCAGCGACGGTAGGACCGGCCATGTGCAAGTGAGCCACTTGTGCCGGAAATGTATGTGTCTTGACGCATCATGGCCGAAACGCACCGAGTCAGAGCCATTTGTGCCGGAATTTTGCCGCCAGGGTGCCCGAATTGGAGCTTCGCGGGTCTCCAACTGGGACACGCAGTCCGCGACACGGGTTCCGGCCGATCTTCCCGAATCCTGAGTCCTGAATGATGTTAGCTGACTTCAACTCAAAAGTATGTGTGTGTGTGTGCAAGTGCTGCAGGGCGCTGTCCTGAAAGACGGAAGCAAGTGGGTAGCTTTAGCGTTGCTTGCGCCGCGCTGCTACCCTTAAGGCTCCCTAGCAGCCCTAGCAGGAGACCCCACCCTATGATTGTAAGAAAGGGTAAAAGCACAAACGGCTTCTGCTCTCAACTTGTGGAGGCATGGGTCGTACTTTATCCTCGTCTCTCGTCCTCCCCTTCTCCTCCTCCTCCACCTCTTCTTCTTCCTCCTCCCCCTCCTCGTCCTCCTCGCCTCCTCGTCCTCCTCCTCGCCTCCTCGTCCTCCTCCGTGTCGTCGCGTTGTCTCCTCTTTCGTCGTTTTTGCGCTCGACACTGACAGGAGATTTCCATTGGAGCAATGCCCTATGCTACCAAGCCAAACTTGCTCGGGAACTCTGCATGCCCTTGCCGAAAAGTCAGAGGAGGAGGGCGAAGACACCCACGGCGAAGTGCGACATGACGATACCGAACATCTCAACGTCCGTCCTTGCCGTGATACTGATGCTAATGGTGATGATGATGATGATGATTATGATGATGATGATGCTGATCATGGTTATGATGATGGTCATGATGATGATCATTATCATGATGGTGGTGATGATGATGATGATGATGACGGTGGTGGTGACGGTGATAACCACGAGACGACGAAGACCATGGTGAAGGATTGCCGGCTTGCACAGTGCAGACGCAATTCCTGACAGGCTCTGGCACTGACAGCTCATGCCTTTGCGAGGCTGGATGTGCGCCCAGGGCCTAATTGCTCTCTTTCGGACGCCTTGCCGTCACACTGCAGTTGCTTCAATCGACACTAGGATCCGAAATCCTGTTCTATTTGATGGCGGAGGAGATGGTGCAGAAAATGCCACTTTTCTCTGGCAAGAATCTTAGCTTTGTCAGAGGGGGGCCAAGGCCAGCAGAGATGAACGGCTCGTGCAGGTCAGGGAGTGGGCTTGACGTTGCAGGCCTTCGGAAAGCTGGCAGCTTAACGGTTGTGCGGTGCGATGTCCCGGTTGACGCACTCGACTTCCAGGCTGCAGATCAAGAACCAGAAGCTTATTCGAGCCTGCCGTCGCCCAAGTCACCCTTCGGACTTGGGATATACCGGAGGACGTGTGGGGACACAAGTTCCCATACGAAGAGACAGCTAAGGCATCAAACATGTGCGTGCCCTATCGGAGGAGCTGACTGGTCAGGAGGCCGGTTGAAGATAAACTTGCAGGTCCTCGTGCTCCTGCCAGTTACATGCTGCGACTCTGCGGAGTGGCAGAAAATGAGCGAGGTGGATGCCATAGAAGCAGGCTTGCAGCAACTCGAAATGTGCTGAGCTTACTTACATTGGAGTATCATTTGGACTTGGGCTCACCGGACAGTCTGCTTCTGCTGTCGGGAGGCTTGATGGTTCAACAGATGCCCTTCTGCGCAGCTTGCGGCGAAAACTCATGATGCAGGCAGCCCGGCCCATAGCACAGCAGTGGCAGCCTCTGCCTTTGGCCGGTCCTTGCAGAGCGCTGCCGTGTTGAGAGTCCCAGGATTCATTCGGGTTTACAATCAGTTTACGCTCAGAAGGCATGACTCGCTGTCTTTGCGGCCTAACTTTCTTCCAATAACAGCCGGCAACTTTTCACATTCTCTGCAAGTTACATGTCCTGACTCTTTGACAGTGCAGCAGCCTGTCTCTCGACACTCTGTGTTCTGACGTTGCGGCACAAGGCTTATTCCCCTGAGGATGACCCGTGGGAAGCATCCGCCGAAAGTTTGCTGCAGCGGTTGTCCGAGGCTGGCTTGTTACTCTGCCTTGCTGCGCTCCTCTAGTCACTCTCTTGTCCCTGTCAGATCCTGTCAGGATGCCGAGAAGGTAGTCAGAGCTGACTCCCAGTACAGTGTCCCCTTGCCGAAGCAGACATCCGAAGATTCCGTGGGGGCGTCTCCCGAGCACATCCAGTTGCTGTCCTCAGCTTTTGGCACACGAGTGGGAAAAGCCGGGGAGATCTCGTGTCTCGTAGCTGTAGTCAGTCAGGCCTGATGATGGGCCGGCAGACCTGTGGGCCATGTGGTCGCCTTCCGGCTGAGCTTTTTTGTCTGCATCGTGTCATGATGCACCTCAGTGAATGTGAAGCTGCCAAGGTCGCACCCGCGTAGTGATGCTGTTGAAGGACTGTCTACAGCTTCCTACCAGCCGCAAGGCATCTGCTTGTGCGGCAGGAGACACTCCTGCATCAGACGTTGATTCCGAGACTGCTGGGGCCTAAGAAAAAGTTGACATAAGTTGTCTCTATCTCAAATATTTTTCAGGCTGGTGCAACGCCCCGCGCGAAGCTCAAGGAGTACCTGTCAAGGCCGAAGCGCTGCTGTCCGTGCTGGCGTCCGTCTCGGCTCGGGGAGGCCAGCGGTGATCGGCCGGAAGACGATGGTCGTTGGAGAGTTACAGCGCGCTTCGGCGGCATGTCAGACACGAACAGCCGGGCACTGATGCTTCGTGCCCCTATGAGTCAGGTGGGCGCAAAAGTGGGCGCAGACAAGACAAGGCCATGTAGGTTCCGAATACTGGATTCCTGGATGCGACAATGTGCGCGTGTCACAAGTCGCCTGGAAGAGACAGTAGCTTCGGCATTGCGCGTCGAACCTGCGCCAGGAGTAGGACTAGAACTGTCACTAGACGGGCGAAGTCTTCGTGAATGGCAGAGTGGAGTCGCTTCCCCTCTAGCCATGGCAAATTTGCGTTCTCAGAGGGCTTGAAATGAGCTCTCAGCGCAGCGTTGCCTTACAAGCACTTCAGTCGCTGCCTTGCGGATCCTTGCGGATGCGAAAGGGCCGCTTGCACTTCAGAGTCTGACTTCCAGTGGGGTCGCAACCATGCCGGAAGCCATGACGCTTCGAGAAACATAGGATCCAGGATCTCTGCGATGACTTGAGCTGGCCAGGGCCTCTTTTCGTTTTCGAACCATGACCCTCGACTGATGTCTGCTTGAGACTCCTGTGTGCGAGAGTTGCCATTCTTCAGTTCGTATGCATGCATGCAGGCTGCAAACATTTAAACTGCCATTGCAGCTAAAGATCTTTACGTCTGGAAGTAGGTACAGTTTAGCAAAGACAAGTCAGAGGGAGGATTGCACAACTGTGCGCGTGTGTGCGTCTTTGTATGTTTCTCTCTCTCTCTCTCTATCTCTTTCTATAAATACATAAACAGAAATAAATAAATAAATAATATATATATATATATGTAACTAACTAACTAACTAGCTAGCTAACTAACTAACTAACTAACTACCTACTTACCTAGCTAGCTAGCTAGCTAGCTAGCTAGCTAGCTAGCTAACTAACTAACTAACTCAATGAATGAATGAATGAACGAATAGTGAATTAATCAATTAGCTAGTTAGTTAGTTAGTTAGTTAGTTAGTTAATTACGTACTTAATTAGTTAATGTATATATATATATATATACATACACGTATACATACACATAGATATATATATATATATATATGTGCGTATATATATATATGTAGATATACGTACATACATACATACATACATACATACATACATACATACATACATATATATATATATGGATGGTTGTGCGCTGTGCGTTCTGCGCCTCCCCCCACCCCTCCCTGTGGCATTCCCCCCCAACTACAAGGGCAGAGCCATTGGAAGAAGGCCTGAACCAAACCACCCAACCATTCCGCACGCAAGCTCCAGGCCCAAGCCGTTCCACATGAAAGGAGGGGGGATGATCAAATGAGAGGATACCATTGAGGGGGGAGGGGGCAGGGGGGGGGCCCGCCGGGGCGCAACCATATAGACATGTGTCTCGGTGAGTGAGTGTGTGCGTGTGTGTGTGCGTGTGTGTGTGTGTGTTTGTGTGTGTGTGTGTGTGTTTGTGTGTGCGTGCACGTACCGTGTGTGTACACTTAGTCAGAGTGCAGGATGAGGATCATCTAATATTGTGGGTCCTTCACCAAAGGCCATGCGGTACGCACAGAATTGCGCCCGAATTTCGCAGGGCAGTGATGGCGCTGCGCCGATCATCGCAAATGCCTTGAATTTGCCCATACCACCCGGCGGAGCTTCTCATCGAAGTCTGTATATAGCCTTGAGGCCAAGCGGAGACATCGAGAGCCAACCTGAGAAGGAGGACTTCTTCGCAGCAGGGAGCTCCAGGAAATGCTGACAGATTCGTGGCGCTTCGTGGCTTTTCGGCTGGAGCCAGGTCGGTCAGGTGACCGTGCGCCTGCCGCCACTCGGACTGGCTTGGGCTTTGCTGTGTGCGAGGATCGTGTGAGCTCGCAGGCTGGATTGGAGACCGCTGCCTCTGCTGGCCCTTCTCCTTAGGCGTTGAAAGCTCGTCGCTCCGTGATCTGTTCGAGTGCCGCCATTGCCCCATTGCCAGTTTTATTCCCTGGGGCTTGCCTTTGCTCCTCTTGGTAGATGCGTTGCTTCAGAAGTGGGGCGCTCAGAGTGCAAAGTGGAGCCAGGGCCTTCGACGCCTGTTCTGCCGACTCATTGCCAGGAGGGTCTCCAGTGCATTCATACTCACAGCGGCTCGCGACCCAAATCGGGGTAAACCATGGCATCAATGACTTTCACTTGCGAGGGAGGGAGGGAGGGAGAGACAGAGAGAGCGAGCCTGCGTGGACCTGAAGACAGCCGAAGGAAGGAAAGAAGGAAGGAAGGAAGGAAGACACAGAGATAGATAGATAGAGAGAGCGGGAGCACGCGACCCCTAAGCCCAGCAGAAGGAAAAGAGAGACATCCATGCCCCGGCGCAAAGCAAAGAGAGCGGGGAGGGTGGGGGAACCTGCCTTCCTGCGACTGTGGGCCCTCTCTTCTCATAAATTTGAGGGCGGAGGCGCTGGCCTGGGAGACCAATCTCGAACCCCGGGCAAGCAGGCGGGCAAGAGCCGACGACCGGAGGAGGCATCCCTCTGCCCTCGTAGAGAAAGCGAGGCTGAGAGATCATCGAATTCCCTTGTCGTCCTCCCTTCAATTCCCTCCGAGTCACTAGTCACCACTAGTCCTATCCCGAGACACAGAGGTGATCGTCACCTCTCTCCTGTCTGAGGCAATGCTGTTGCATTTTGGTGGATGTCAGTTTCAATCCTGACATGGTTTCTGTCAGTTCATTCTCAAGCCCCTCATTGGCGAGCCACGGCCGTCGACGTCCGCTTGCAGGACATTAATTTCTCGTTGCTGGCAGTAATTCCGAGGTGCTAGGCCGTTAGAAGTGAAATCTTGGTTGCAAAGTCGTAGCCGGGTTCTGTGCAAACTTGACGCATGTACTGAGATGACGGTGGAACTTTTGTAGACTTTGCCTGTTGCAAGCCGTGTGACAACTTTTTGCACCTCGGATGTTTCTAAGCGGTTTATGTTTTTCGGTCGTGACCCTTCAGACATCATCTTCGTGCAGTTGCATGCCCCGCAAAAAATTAAACCTGCAGAAGGACCTTTGTCGATGAGATGTAGCAGCTAGCATGAAGGATTGCAAAACGCTGATCCAATCTCAAGAAGGTTTTTCTTCTGCAGAAGTACGGCTAGCAATAGTATCCAACGCTTGCATTTTCAGTGTTGGAAACAAAGTCGTCAAAAACGTGCGAGATCCAACACAATCACGGCAGATGGTTTGCATCATGCCGTTCTCGATATTGAGGGAGGTTTTGGAATGTCTGGGTAGGGAGTCGCTGTGTCAGAGATGTCTCTGTGCTGGCGGGTTTGCCTCTGTCTGACAGGCTAGGTGCTCAAGCGTCACGTTCATTTCACGCACTGCGACTCTCCGTGCTCTTTTCGGCCCGACTCCTTCATCGATAGTAGCGTTTTCCCTGGCCGCCCAATCTTCATCACTTGTTCATCCTCCTGGCACCGACCGTCTGGGAAAAGTAAAATCGCAAGCTGCAGCAGCGGCGTGCTGCAGGACAGATGACGGCAAGCTACTTCCTGGAATGCCTTCAGGCCATGTCATGTGCTTGCCTTAATCGCACGCCCATCGTCATCTTGAGTTGGCATCACTTCACCTCACGGCCGAAAATTTGCAAGGATTTGTCAGTCCCTCTTGACATTCTATATGTTGGAGGCACTCGTTGAGCTGTCTTGCATGACGTGCTGGAGCTGATCTCTATATTGCCACATAGTGACAAGTATTTCTTGCGGCCCTGTCTGACTGACTGCTAAATGCTTGATGTAGTGTTGTACTCCATGCCACGCTATAGCACTGTCGACTCATTGACCGGGCATGGGCATTCAAACACAATTGATGTTCCAAATCAGGCTGTGCGGCATCATCTGCTTTCAGCAAGGGTCTGAGCACTCGACAACCTTTCGCCAAACCGGCATGTATGCTCGGGTTGCACTAGGTTTTTGTTCAGGCAGTCATTGTGTCGCTGTTGCTGATGCCCGCGATGCCTTGGGCCCGCACGTTGCTCAGAGGACGAGTGGACCAACCGCAGAGTAAATGATAGTGAATGAGGAAGATGGTGTAAGAATGGGGTCCGAGGCTGGTACAACGGCGACCACAGCGCGAAACAGGCTAGTTGCACTGCAACTTCAGACTTCGAAAGTGGTCCTGCTTACGCTGATCAGGTGGCTCTCACGTTTATCATGGCCACTGTCATAGGCCCGAAGCTCCAGAGCAGAACAGAGGCTAAGACAGGGCCTCGCGGAGCAGATTGAGGTTTGATCGATTACGTTGCGTTCCTGCTGTTCTTCGTGGACAGCCTCTGTCCCAGTCACTACATCGAAAGGCTCGCGTCGCGGCAGCAATGACTCTCTAAGGTTGGGCCAGCGAGACAGAGAAGGTGTGGACCGAAATTCTCATCATTCCCATTCGAGGGTCTGCAAACGCTACAGATGAAGCGACAGGTGCTGCTAGCAGAAGTTGCATCGCTACCATCTCCATCGGGAGGCCGATGGCAGCCAGTAGCAGTGCTTGATTGCCGCCCCTCAAGCCTACCACAGCATTGTGGATCGTCGAGGTCGCACTCTGCCGTGAGCAGCATCGAAGCAGACCCACACACGCGCACACACACAGATAAACCAACGACACGCGCAGAGACATGTACCCTGTCAACAAAACTCTAGATGCAGTTTCACCCGCGGCCCAAGGCGGCCATTCACTTGAAAACGAAGCTGCCAGAGCACCTTTGCTTGCGACTTTGATCCTTCACCGGCATCATGTGGGAAGTGGGATGCAAGATCAATCCGGTTCGGAGCATTTTCGGGGCTCGAGTACGACAGCGACAGCAACCGGGAAGCAGGTCCAGTTTCGCAATGACTCGTTTGATCCTCGCACTTGTTGTCGCCTGCGCGGTTGCAGAGCCACAAAGGCACGCACGCGACATTTGAGTACAAATGTGTGTCACTTTGTTGACTTCGGAGCGTTCCTCAGGGATGAACCTTCGCTTCGTGGAGCGGACGACCTCATTGCTCGTGCCCTGTTTCTAACGCTCTTGGGTATAGGCAGTACGGCAGTACTTCCTGGTTGCATCGAACTCATCGCGTTCTTGGACGCATCTGTCCTCAACTTCTGAATTGGGGTGAAGCCGGGGGGATGGATACTGCAGTGACTCTGCAAATCCGCAGCTGTGGACCCAAGGCTGTGGAGCCTTGTGTACCTGTATATTGCTTTAGGGACTCGATATCCTCTACTCGTATCTGGCGAGTAGCGACGGCAGGCCTTTGTCAGGCCAACACTCCCTCGCTCGCTGTATCCCAAAACCTTTATAGAGCATGCATACTAGCGCAAAGCTTCTCTGAGGCATGTCGAGCAGCTCCGGTGACCTTCCGGAATGTACAGGAGCTGGAGACTTCCCCAGTGCTGCTCCTCTCTGCAGCTTGACTGAATGCCTCTGGCCGCATTTCTACTGCAGCAGAGCTATGCAGAGAGTTCCCGCCTGGTTCTGATGATTCTGCAGACTAGACCCCACGATGAGTGCTCCTTTCATGTGATTCGCCATCACGAGATCCATTCCGCAAGGCTTTGAGGTTTGGAGTGCCATAAATGAGTCTTGAAGGCTACGGCGGCCAGCTCCTGGTGGAGACATTTGCGATCAAGGTTGTCAGCTACGACGGTGCATCTGGAGTGGCTACCTGACCGCATGACAAAGATGTTGCCATCCCCTTCACTTCACGGGCCACGTGCGTAGCCTCGCTTCATGCTGGAGAGGCGAAATGTGAGACAATCCTGAAAACCTTCGGACTAAAGCCTGTGCAGTGCCTGTGCTCCTCAGGTTGATATGGAAATGAATGGCCCGCAGACCGGCCAGTGCTCTGGTGCAGCCTTTCACAACAACGACAACGTCATCACAATTGCAGATGAACAAGAGTACCCAGCCTCAACGCATGCTCCGACTCTGTCCGCAGTCGGACTGCCGCCCTGACCGAGGTGTGGTCTCTCGGGCTCGGAGTATACTGTTCGCTACTGCTCGGGTCTCAGATCTTGTGGGTTCAGCAAACCTGTGGCTCCGCTGTCATCTCTCAGAAGCCTTCAGCGCCAGCGAACGGGCCTTGTGAAGATCGCATGTGACAAGCAAGCTGTCCTACAGAATGCAGCGTTGCAAAAGTGCCCATGACCCATTGTCGTTCAAGCCGAATCGGTGCTTCGCGTGCTTACGATTCCTGGAACGATGTCCTTCCCAGGCCCGGACCAGGACCACTTCATCATCAACCTGGTGAAGCACCATGCCGAACAAATAAGATGATGCGCTCCACTTTACGAGTTTAGTCGGTTTCTTCGCCCAACCGCGAAGGCCATGGAACGTGGATGTTGTCCTCACCAGCCAAGCCTGCCCGTCGTCACTGAAGCAGGATGGGAATTCAGAGCCTGAAAAGCAGGCTATTTTGCCATGATGTATTGCCGAAGTGAATCTGCGGCAACTGTGTTCCTTGTTTTCGTTTGCTGACAAGCAGTGTACAATGCGTCAGCCTTTGGGGCTAGCAACGTCTAGCTGTTGTGGCAGAAGCCAAAGTCAATGCAAGCCTGCACTGGAATCCTGTGACGTGATGGTGTGCCAAGCGCCTTGTGGATCTTGCCATGGTGTTTTTTGTTGTTGGCCTGGTCCTGTGCTTTCTCCAGCTCGCCAGGCCCCACTTTGTCAGCTGTTGGCTCGTGACTTCTGAGACATACTGCTGCTGTCCCTATTTTGCCCTTCTTGTCTCCATACCAGGTTGAAGCTGCCATCCATCCTGAAACGACCCTTTGCCGCCCTTAGAGGACGCATGACATCTGCCCTTCGCATCACCTTGCGACAGCTTGATGGATGGCGAGCGGGCGAAGCAGACGGAGACGTCTTTGGTGCCATTCGAGGCTCGCAAACGGAGCATTGCTACGGGCACAGCAGAGCCCGTGCCCGATGAGCGAATTCTTAAGCGGAAGATGGTCTTCAGCGACCCGCCTTTGTGCCCTTTTCTTCGTGCCTGCATTCTGAAAGGGTGTCCTTTCAAGCATCAGCGAACGCTTCTGCAACCCTCTTCACGGATGCCTCGGCCGATTCATTACAATATTTGTGCAAGCGACGACTGCCATGCGAAAGCTCTGCCTGGCCAATTCTGTTGCAACCCTTGCGAGAGTGAGTACTCTGGTGGAGCACGTTTGTTCAAGCAATGTCCTGCTCATAAAGGCCCCTGCAAGATCGTACCTGGCTCGCGGCACTGTTCCGACTGTCAAGGCGAGGAGGACCTTGATACCAGCGACTTCCAGCAGGGACCCCTACCTTCACTTCCTGCGAAGCGTCGTAAGAGATCGAAAGATAAGGGGGTCAGGCCTGCGTCTCAGGTGAAGCCTTCCAGTTGTCTGCGAGTACGGGCAAAATGACATCGGTGTTTCGCTCATACTTTTGCTCACAGCATCTCTACATGCTTCGATTACAAAAGCCACACGATTCGGCTGACTCAACTGCACCGCCGTTCTTGTATCCTTCCCGGGCAGTCTTTCAAGTTTTGCTCCCTTGCTAGAAACACCTGGACCCGGCCAAGGCCAAGCCGCCAAGCCCTTGCCAAGCCTTACACACAGTGCCCTGGTGCCCTGGTGCCCTGGCCTTGGCCAATGCTAAGCCATGCTTTGGCCTTGGCTGCTTCTGGGGCTTTGGGTCCCCGTTCGCGCCGCCTATTTCTTTGTGGAGGCTGGCACTGCAGAGGGTCTTTGCGGTAAGTGACTTTTCGCACTCTGAGGAGGGTTCCGAGAGGTGCTTCCAGCAGGAGGTGCAGGGCTCAGAAGCTGTGCCATTCTGTGCTTCCTTTGTCCCTGTTGCACCGTGTCATAATTGCCCCTGCCTAAGCTGCTCTCTGCCGTGTCTCCCTGGCTAAGCTGTGCAAGCGAAGCTCGAATCGGATACCGGGGCTCACATTGCTCCACAAGGATTTCTGCGATCCATCATGTCGATTGGAAGGCCTCCAGCCTTCCACACTGACATGAGAACCTGCATTGTGTGCGCACGGCAACTGCAAAGGAGGATTGTGGTGCAAATTGGCAAAAACCGAGCAACCTGCGCCCAAAGCCATTAAACTCGATGGATGATGCTAAGCCTGCATGCCATTGTCTTGGTACAGCAGTGGTGCGACATGCAAACAAGCACACGCCGAGTCTCTGAGGTCTTAGAAAATCAGGCCAGGCCACCGCGATCACGTAGCATGATCATGTTCGCCCTGCATCGAGAATCTAGAGTCTTGGGCATCGTTACACGTGCAGATCTTGAGAGTCATCTACAACATGAATGACAAGGAGGCCAGCTGACATCTTTTTTATGCTCGAAAATAAGGGCATTGTGCTGCAGGTTTTGCCGCTGGCAGAGTGTCGATCCTCGTGAAAAGTCCAGCTGACGAGGCTCCTGGCAGCAAAACGGGGCCCGACCGGGCCCCACCAATGTTGGACGTTTTCCCTTTCCCAGGTGGTGAAGGACCATGCTCTCGTCGATGGAAACACAGGGGTTGCCCGCCAAGAGCCAGTGCAAGAAGGGGCCCACTGCAGCCCGACGGACCGAGGCATTAGCCTTGCTTCCCAAAGCAACGGGGACCCACAGCATCTGCGTGCACTGCGCAACACAGGCCTGGCCCCGCAGATCAGACTCGGCTTCCCGCCTTGGCGATTAGAAAGCTTCCCCGCATCGTAGACAGCACAACACCATTAGCAACACAAGCCGAAGAATCGAAAAAGTAATGGACGAAGGTGTCAGGAATCCATATAGACTTCTCGACGTCTTGAGACCACGGCCGATCTGCCAGGGCTCTTCTATCCTGGACTTTGGTCGCGGAAGGAGTCTTCCATGCTATGCTTTGCGAGCTTTGAGTCTGTGATGGGCTGCATTTGAGCGCAGGAAGCTGCGCTGGCTCGACTGGCCTGTTTTGCCTGTTTCAGCAACGCCAACATACGCCAACCCTGGAGAGAGCCTGTCCAGGTCCATCGCCTTCGATGTGCTTGGTCGACCTCTCCTGGTTGAAGCTCTGGTGGTAGCTGCGCTAGAAGCTGCTGGAATTTACGGTGCGCGACCAGGCGCTTCCAGCATGGGCCTGTTGCCGGACTCGTTAGCAGATTCTTCATGTGTGCGAGCCGATGTACCAGTTGAGCTGACTCTCACATACCTGGCTGCAAGAGGACCCGAAGAACGCAGCCAGCCTCTCCCTGCTGAAAGGCACACAGGCCAGCATCCGATCGTTCTCGCGCTTTTGGCAGCCGCTTCGAGCTTTGCAGGCCCAGGTGGACCTGATCTTGGAAAGGATAAATGCAGCACCCTCATAGAGTTTTCATTTTCGATGTCCTTACAGAGCAGAAGAAAGGCCATCAGCACGGAGAACGACTATGAGCGGAGCTTCGAATCAAAGTTTGTGAAGACTTCAGAGGCCGTCAATATGGATGTTGCAGCCTTCAAGTTTCTGCAGGCGGGCTGATGTGCGAGAGACTTGCGGAGTGGCGCAGAAGTCCAAACCTGTGCTAGATCCTGCTCATTACGGGTGTGGCTGCTTTTCAGAGACTTGTCTGCAGATGCCCTTGTACCAGCCGGCATACTGGTAGCAGGCACTCAAACGTCGGCTCTGAACTCTCGTCTAGTCGATTCCAGTTTGGATTGTCTATCTCTTCCAGTTACTGCGTACGAATTCTATGTTGCAGGCGGATGTTAAGGCGGTCATTTTGCGAGACTTGCGCGACCCACGTCGTGTACTTGCCACAGAGCAGACACAAAGGATCCACAACCTGGCCAAGTTCCTGCGAAGGCGGGACGTTCCTGCTTCGTTGGGGTACTTTCTGGGAAGCCAGGTCCGCCCCCCTGACCCTTTTTTGTGGTTGCCAGCTCCTGTGGCCAAAGAAGTGATGCCAACAGTAGCATCGCAGTGTTTGTCGTGACTTGCAGACATGCGGAGGAACAAGTTCTTGGAGTGCTGCCTCCCACTGGCCATGCGCAGCAAGCCCGCTGCAGCGCTCTAAGCTTTGTCAAGCTTTGAGTGTGAACTAGAATTGCGCTGACTTTTGTGTGTTTGTTTGTTTGCTAGTTGCCGGTCAGTGGGCATGCTGTCGTCCTTCGCGGTTGTGCAGTTGTGATGCCAGGACTTCTTGACAACTTGTTGCCATCTGGGCCATGATTGTGTTCGTTTGCCTTCATGGTACGAAGACGAGGTACCCAACAGAGTCATGACGCTGGCCAAGCTGCCTGTCGCGTATGTGACTGACTATATCTGGCTACATCTCCAGGATTAAAGTTTCGTCGCACTTGCCTATGAGATCATTCCGCAGGACACGGAGTATCGCGGAGTACCGAAAGTGCATTTCAATTTCACATGGCCTGGCTGGCGGAGCAATTAGCCCACGGGAATTAGATTATACTACTGTCTGTTCCGGACGGAGGACTTTGCTGGAGGAGTCTTGGGGGGAAAGGGACTGTGCAGAGTGTTCGTGATCAACATGCGAGAGTACGACGAACTTTCGTCCTGCTGCAGCGTGAGTTTTGTGGCCGATAGTCCTGCAGATTGCAGTTCGTGAGGTGGTGCATAGTTTCTGCAAGACCTGTAAAGAAGTCATTGCAAGAAAGAACAGCATGGCGCTTGGCCAAGCCCCTGAACGCGCTGAACTCTGGCACCAAAAACTGAGGCTGCCTCATGCTGCCTCACTGTATTGTAACCTCGTTGGTCAGCAAATCTTGCATGACTCGTTGCTGAGTGACTTCAAAGAGACAGTCTAGCTCCGAGCTATACCGGTCAGTCCCACAGATGTTTAGGCTTCAAACTTGCCTATAGGATCATGCGGATGACGCGGGGTATCGCGGAGTACCGAAACGTGCATTTTGTGTGGCTGGCTAGCGGAGGAATTAGTCCACCGGAATGCAATTATACGGTAATTATACGGCTTAATTTTCCGGACGGAGGACTTTGATGGAGGAGTCTAAGGGGGAAAGGGACTGTGCAGAGTGTTCACAATCAACATGCGAGAGCACGACGAACTTTTCGTCCTGCCGCAGAAGAAGGCTAGGGGCTAGCTGCCGTACCAAGCATGTGGATGATCTGCCCAAGTAGGCCGTGCATATCGGTCAAGGTCTGATGTCGCGGCTACATCAACACGTCGGGTGGCTGAGATCGGGCTTGGAGCAACATGTAGATAATGTAGAGACCAAGCACACAAGCGTCACGAAAAACACGCATCTGTGATCTGCTTGGTTGCAATGCTGTAGAACGGTGTCCAGAGTGCTTGGGCATGTCAGCTTGCAGTGTTTCGGCGGGAGAGCCACCAAGTCGTCCTCATGCACCGAACGAAGTATTGCCATCTTGGAAGCCATTGCTACGTTGCGACTGATGGAAAAGTTACTACGAACAAAGATACAACCATCTCATTCTGCACCTCCGCACAAAAAGCGTCGTGCATAGCAGCAGATCGAAACAAGCATCGCCGTGCATTTCGCCATGCAGAACGCATGTGGCTACAGGCGTGATGTGATGCTGAAGTGGCACACATCACAGACCACCAGTTTCAGAGGTAACAGAAAGATCATCCGATGGGCTGGCTCTCACCGGTCTGTCGCCTACCACCGGCGACAACATGCCGTCCTGATACATTCCTTAACTGAGAATGAGAACACAGGCAGTGCGGAGCTTCTGGCTGCTCTTCGCAGCTGAGCTGGCATTTCGCTCAGCTTGGATCTGTTTCAAGAAGCTCTTACTTGTCCTTCTGCTGTCTGCAGGCCTTGCAAGCTGCACGGGCGAGTGCATCATCAGCCACAGCGCGGAGAGCTGCAGAGGTTGCTGAGTCTCGATTGTTGTTGCTGAGCTGCAGTTCGCGGGAGGTTTGTTTGCTTTGCAGGAGTCACGCGGCCCGCCATGGACGTATGCGAACCAGGACATGCGAAAGCTGCAGACGGCATGCAGATTTAGGTTTCACCAATGATCAATGCTTCCTCTTGCCAAAGCATGACACTGGTACAAGACAGGGCCAGTGGGACAAGCTCAGCTCTTTGACGGCAATAATCGCGAGCCTGCGGTCTTAGACGATGTTAGCCGATGTGATTCGTATCAAGGCGGTTCCAAGTGCGGCGGCTTCGGGGTCGCTCGCATGCACTTTGGCAATCGCTTGTTGAACTATGCCTACCTCAAGCCTGAGTGTGTCCGGTTCTCTCCGCAGCACAGGACCAGTCGCCTATCGATATCGTTCGCAGCTCAGACCGTCGAGTTGGCTCTCCGCTCTTTGGGGCCGACGCCTTGCTTGTTGTCGGCTCCAGCAATCTCCAGCAGTGACCCGCTATCTTCACAATTTGCGTTGTTGTAGTAAGTCTTCATTATCATGGTCTTCATCCCCGCACAATCCTACACAGAGTTGTTGATTGGTGGCACTGAAAACACATGATTTGCAGTTCTCCTCCTGTCGCGCAGCCGAACGCAACACTGATGGCAGACTCATATTCTGCAGGGGCACAATGCGAAGCCCAAGTACAGAATGAAAGTGTTGACTTTGACTTGCTTCCCGTTATCATTGAAGATACTTGCGAATCCGGCCTGCCCTTGTGCACTCGTGGTCGAAGTGTTCGTCCAAGAAACTGTAAAAGCTTCAGCAGCGCGGTCCAGCATAGCCCGCCGAACCTGGGAAGATCCAGATCTCCGCCAGAATCCAGAATCAAAATTTCAGATGATCTGGAGATGATCCTCCCGCAAGCTGGCAGTCGACATGCCCGCGTGAGCAGCTATCGAGTCGCGGCCAGTTCCAGAGCTGCTGCGCGCCTGGATTCACAGCTGGCAGCTATGTATCTGGATCCCTTCCGCGGCGACATGCCAAGGAATTGCAAGGTATGCCAGCAGGTCTTCAGGATGGGAGAGCTGATTCTGGGTTACATGCTCGAAGATCTCATGTTGCGCCCAAAGTGGATCCACATCAAATGCGTGCGGCGTGCACGGCTTCAGACTGTCGGGCAGCGAGTTGCCCACAATCCTACAATCTCTGAAGCTACTCTGCAAGAAGCTCTCTTGGATCTGGGACATACGCCACGGCAGCCAGAGAAGCTAGTCTGCTGGAGCTACTTGCCAGCATCGGTACACAGGTGGCCCAACCAGCTTGTACATGCGGCGCCCGAACCTGAACCGGTCGAGGACAGCCGTCCCAGGTCGAATTCTGAGCATTCGGAGCAGGCCATTGCTGCCATTCTAGCAGCACTTCCATGCTCCCAGTTGTCATCATCTATGGAAGCCTGTGCCATCTGCCACCAAGTCATGTCTCAGAGCGAGATGATATGCTCCTTGCCATGTGCCCACACATATCATGTGGGCTGCATAGACTCGTGGTTGAGGATTCGTACTACTTGTCCCCTTGACAACAGGAACATTCAGCAAATGCTGACGCAGCCAGGCTGCAAAAAGGCCACAGACTTGTCGTGAAGATGCGAGCCTTCGTTGTCAAACTCGTTAAGTTCTCGGATGCTGCTGTGAACGAGTGCTGGCTCAAATGACCAGCAAGGGGCATGTAGTCCTTGTGAACCGACGCGCCGGAAGCATTTTCAGCAGTGCTCTCGGTCACTGCAAGAAGTAATGTATGAATGCACAAATTAAATTTCCTATCGCAGGTGGATCGCGCCTCGTTGAAAGTTGAAATTGTTTTGGCAGGCCTCGACTCAAACCATGGCCGGCTCGAGTGTCTCTCGCTCAGGGCAGAAGGGAATCAAGGGATGCCTTTACGAAGGTAGAAGTCTGCGCATATCCCGCTTCTAGCGTGTCAAGGTTTGGGCAGAGCTCTTCAACTCCCTGCCGGAGCCACAATCGGACTATCCGCCCTTGGATGAAAGGCGCGCTGGGTCACGCAGCCCCCCGCTTTCTTGCTGTTGGAGTCGCAACAGAAGGAAGGCCGAAGCATGGCGTAGCATGGAGAGTCTTAACGTCCTCAGGCCTTTTCCGGAGCGTTTCACCGACGACTTCTTCAGGGACCGCCTGCCGGAGCTCGAGTTCCGCCTCGAGGAGGCCCGGAAAAGCGGCCCCACGCACGCGTCGTCTTCGTGCCTGACGTGGTGCTTGCAGCCCGATAGCTCAGAAGAGAGGCATGCGTCAAGGGCAATATCCAGGAGGCGCATCCTAGAAAATGCACCAGCTTGTGCAACTTGCTGGCTTCCGTAGCGAGCATGACTTGCAGCGGCACATTTACACTCGAAGTCTCCCACGAGGTGCACGACCTTATCCTCGAGGGTGCGAACAAGAATGCACCGTTGGATAAGGAGCTCAAGACGCCGCCCCTTGACACGTCCAGAGGCAAACTCTGTCGTCGCACTTTGATCTTTGCCTATGCAAGGCTGATGATAGCCTGTCAACTTGGCTGGCTTAGCTCTCAGCATCGCACGCGCACGATGGTCAGGGGAGCACTCTCATAAGTGCACGGGTGCTCAAGCTTCCGAGGTTTCACTTGGTGAAGTGGCTGGTTGAGTTTGAGGGAGTGGACATGGATGGGCCGATTTCCAGATGCGGGTTCAGAGCCATCGATTATGCTGGGAAGGCACGGGCAAACAGCCAAGTGAGAATGCGTGCACCCCTGCTCTGTGTAAGATGAGCACAAGCAGGGGCAGCAGCACACCCCTGGCACAAGCACCTGCGCACCCATCATGTCCGAGTAATGATAGGCTTAGGCGCCTGAAGATTCCACAAGCATGCGAAGCCTTTACGAACCCGATTGATTAGGGTGGCACCATCGCTTCAAATGCATAATGTTCTGTCGGTGGTCAGTCCGTTCTACCGGCGACTCCAGGCGAGTGTCAGCAAGTTTGTGCTCTGTTTTGTCGCCATACAGCATGAATAATTAGATGTTGTAGTTCTCATGAGATTTGCACTTGCACCTTCTTCAGATCCATAATGCCCCCATGACTCGAGAGCTAAGGGAGTCTGCACATGATCCTTCATGAACTGTAACGGTCATTCTCAGTTTAAGCCCGGCCCTGCTGTGGCAGGAGCAATTCCGTTGGCCGAACGAAGAGGCCTTTGCACAGCGGCCGCCCGTGCTGTTCCAACATGATAGTCTGACAGCGGCCTGTTTGCAGGTAGAGATCGCTGATTACCTGAGGAGTCCCGCCTCGCTGAAACCATAACCAGGCATGCGGTAACTTGGCAGTAACGCTTTCTGCAGGAGCATGGGTTCCAACTACACGTGGTGGGGTGCGTGCTTTTCCGGCGACATCGAGCGCATTGACGAATACCTTCAGAACGGCCAGGAGCTTGCTTTGCTGGATTCCTGTTGATGCCCAGAGCTCTCCATCCCATTTCCGGGCACGTTTCGCCCAATATGGCTGGATGTTGGCCAATCTTTAGCCAGGTCACTCGAGGTCACACGAAAATGGCGGATTTATCGACCCTTCACACCCTGCGGCCCTGGGGGATTGACAAGCGGTTTGTTTTGCTGGCCCTCGTTTCCGCTAGCTGAGCCTATTTCGATGGCATAGGTTGGTTTTCGCTTTCGTCTAAATGTCTAAATGTAACCAAAGCCCAGAAGCTCGAAACGAGCCTATTTCCATTGGGGCCGCGATGGGCGACTGTCTTCCCAGTACTCGCGAATACGCTCGAGTAGGCTCGAGTACGCATTCCTGTGCATACTTGCTCATACCCGTGCATACTTGTGCATACCCGCGCATACTCGCACATATCCGCGCATACCCGCGAATACCCGCGCATACTCGCGCATACCCGCTGCTATCCGTGACCACAATCTGCAGTCGGGCCTTGGTCTCAATTTACCTAGCCAAGCAACCCGAAACGAGCCTTAGTTTAAAAGCCAGAAGCTCGAAACGAGCCTTTATCAATGAAGCAGGTACATTTTCGCCTTGGCCATAACCCGAAACGTGCCTGTTTCAATGAAAATGCAAGAGGTCCGTTTTGACCGTGGTCTCAATTTAACAAGCCAAGCAGTCCGAAACGAGTATTTTCACAGAATAGGTCAGTTTTCGCTTTGATTTCAATTTAGCAAGCCAAAATAAGAAACGAGCTTATTTCAATGACATATGTCCGTTTGGCCCTGGTCCCAATTTAATAAGCCCAAAAGCCCGAAACGACCCTGATTCACTGACGGTCGTTTTTGTGGTCACCCCCCCCTCCCTCGTCTCCCATCCAAACACCCAAGAATCCAGCAAGAGCTCATTTCATATGAATTAGGTGGCTAAATGAAACAGGTCTGTTTCCGCGCTACACCGCGCCCTTAACCGTTGTCTCAATTAGCACAAAACTAATTCATTTCAATGAAATCGGTCTGTTTTCGTGTTCGCGTCGCTGCCTGCAAATCCAGCCCTGCTATAGTCAGATAACGTCAGTTGGATTCAGGGACCGGACCCGACCTGCGGCTAATTTGAAGAGTGGAATTAGTCTAAATTCGTCTGCTCCGTTGCACTCAACTGCGGCGCTCTGCAACCCGATCAAGTGCTTTCTCCGAAATTGCCCATGCTATCACCCCGCGGCAAGCCCTCCTGCAGGTCGCAATCCCCCAAAGATGCTGTTCGAGCATGGCGGCTCGCATGTAGCCTCACTGACACGGTCTTACACTGAGGTCGCGGGATTGTCCGTGCCGCAGGTCAAAGTCGTTGTCCGTCCAAATTCCAAATCCATACCAGCTAGCTCGCATTCACGTCATGACGATGGTGCCGTCTGTGTCGATGCGTCCCTCGGTCGGGACAGAATCCGTGCATGCCAAACCGGTACAAGTTGTGCGTCCCTGATGAGTCGCCGATGTCCACAACCAGGTCCTTGTACTGCAGCGGTCCTGCGACCCTGCGTACACGCCGAGGATCTGGCTTCACGAAACACATGTCTATGTCAGACTTGCTTGACGTTTCTGTCTGATTTATGGTTCTCCTGATATACTACCTCCAACCTCGGCCCATCTCAGGCCTTTGGAGTCCCTTTGGAGTGTCAAGGTACCTGTCGACTCTCGAGTCGGCTTCAGACCTGCGACTTCCGTCAGAGCGATTTTCCCTCGACCGTGAGTCCTGCACCTGGCCCGGTCAGGACGTCAACGAGATCAACCCGGTCCTGTGGAATTACAACGCAGTAGACTGTCATCGTCTTACGTCCTGACATAATGTGCCAGCCAGTCAGTCTCGGCATTGCAACCCGTGCTTCCAAGGTGCCATGCACGGAGGATGTGGCAAGGCTGCCCAATTTCTCGTTGCCCGTGGCGGCATCATCACAGTAAGAAACTGCCACTTGGATGCAACCGGCTTTTGGCAGGTCAGGCAGTGAAAGAAAAGGTTACCACCTGCTTCCCATGCAGGTCATATTCCTGTCTGGGATGACATGCTGTGGAGCATTGGGCGTGGCGATGCCTTTATGTATAAGGCTCGCCTGCACACGGAACAAACCTACTGTGTCATGGTGGTGCAGGGACTAACAGACCAGCACGAATTCGGTTTGATTGTCAGCGTTCTTCTCTGAAGACTGCTGCATGAATCCAATCAGGAGTGGGGCCTCGAAGAAGGAAGCTTCACCAAACTCTGAGCGACTAGTTGAGTTCTTCCAGATTCAACAGGATCCAGCATTGATGTTACACCTTGATTCAGAAAGCTCTTGCACATCACATACAAACCTTCCGGGTCACTGCAGAACATGAAGGAACCCACACTTGTACAATTGCTGAGTGCTAGCTTGTACAACGTCACAAGTCGACCCGTGTCAGCGTGTTGGAAAAGCCGCCAGCACTGGTTCTTGAGCCGCGAAGCTTGCTTGTGTTGCCATGCATATGATGCTGCTGTTGATCAGAAGTTTCGGTTCTGGCCTGCCCTGGGCACAGAGATGATGCACGCGCTTCAGACCCCACTGCGCTCTCATCGGGTGGCGGCTTCATCAGGCAGGACACTGATGACGTTTTGGTGCTTCCCAACAACGTAGGACTTCAGGAGTTGTAGCTCATTGCAGCTTTTAAAGGGGCAGCGCGATAAGCCTGAGGCGAATTCAATCTTCACAGCATGTGCTGCGGCAGCTTGTGCGGATCTTCACAATCAACAACTGCTACAAACGATTGGCAAAATTCCTGGCAGCTTGCAATGGATGCGTTTCGAAGCAGCAGAAGCTGCTCAGAAGCCTCCTTTGCAGCTATGACTATCATGTCTGCGTTCTCCAAGTCCCAGCAATGGCTGCTTGCAGTGGCAACGATGCGCGGGGTGCGACAGGTGCATCGAAGTGTGTGCGAAAGAATGCACTGGTAGTCGTCTGAAGGACTGTCAAGGATCGAAGTCAGAGTCTGTGTCTTGCCTCCTAGCTGTGGTGAAGCCTGGCCCATGAGGTGCAAGTGGAGGCCAACACGATCATGTTTAGCTCCGGCCTGGCCAGCTGCTCCAAGAAAGGGCTCTGGAAAGAACAAGTGCACTTTCTTGAAGAGATGTCCCAACATGGTATTTCAAGCTCTTCGTGGACGTGGAATCCAACTATTACGGGGTGTGGCAAGGCCAACGAGTGGACAAAATCACTAGCCACCCTGTCACAGATTCCTCGCCATACGGTTCTCCTCAGTAACACGTTCAATGCTGTGATCAACGCTCTCGGCACCGCTACGTGGCAAAAGTCTCTACGAAGCTTCAGTACCATGGAAACGCTCCGCAGCTTCACTGATTTTATCGCATTGTGCTTGCTTTGAAGAGCTGTCGCATACAGAGCATGTCAGTTCCTTCCAAAGCATGCATCGATGCACCGACACCGGATGCGCGGTCGCAATCGGTCCTGGAGCAACTGGTCCATGTCGTAAGGTGAGAGCATGGTTTTGAAGAAGTGGTGCGGGCAAGGGCAGTTGCACCGGAGTACGCTGCTGTCGAGGTCAGGACTCTGTCATACATGCACACACGCAGCTTGCGAACTTAGGTCTCGACTCGTTTCACCTGTAATGTCCACGAGCATTGCAACATGTTTCGGCCTGACAGCCCCAATGAGCTTGCCCGCCGACTGTGCCCGGCTTGTCCTGGCTGCACCGTTTTGCTAAGCTAACTGTCAGTGGTCCAGGTATAATTAATCCCGCCGGCAAGTCATGAGGTTGTCACAATCACGAGGAATGGGGTACTCTGAGGAGGTTGTGGTGCTAGACTCCAGGACTCGTCTCCTTCAGCTCTGATTCTGCGATCTTGTGGTTCCTGAGTCCCCGCTTTGCTGATCGGCCTCGCCATCCTAAGTTTTTGATCGAAGCACGCATGCTGCACTCTGGAGTCGTCTCAGGGTCTCCTAATGTGACGCACCTTTGCTCCGAAGTTCAGCTTGGCTTCACATGACGAGCTCAGCTACCGGTTGACATCTGCCAGGCGGTATGCAGTGATCGCCAGGCTTGGCACAGCGTGCTCGATTGCCCGCGCACTTCGAAATGTGGACCTGTCACAGAGCTCAGCGGGAGTGCAAGCATTCCTGATTGTGGGCATTCTGTGACGGTCTTCACAAGACTATGCATCAGCACCAGCGCGTTCCTATTTTCACGACACCCCAGACCCCAAAGCAAATGATTTGGAAGCCAGGACAAATCGGATGGAGCCTGTTAATGCTCGTGTGCCCAGCCGTGCTGATTGCTGGGACATGCCGGGACGGAGATGTCACATGTGTCCAATGCTGCTGATTTTGCTGCGCTTCCAGAAAGCACGTAAGGAGTTTCGCCGGACTCCAGAAGCTACACATCGATTGCCAGCACTGTTGGGAGCAGTCTTGAGTGGGCAAGTGCCTTGAACCTATTTCATAAGCATGCTCAGAGCGGACTACAGATCGACGCGGTCAGTGTGAATGCAGCTCGTCGAGCTGGCCAATCTCGTTGAGTTTAAAAAGTTTCTTTCTAGATGCATGGCATAGCATATATCTCTATGTAGCGAAACCCCACTGATCAGGCTGCCATCAGTGCATGTGAAAAATCGTCGATGTGGCAGCATGCATTGAGCTTGCTTTTCAGCGTGCGTCGGACGTCCCGCGACTACATCAGAAATATTGCCAGCTACAACGGAGTCATCAGTGCCTGTGGGAAAGGTTTCGCATGGAGGATAGCCGTTTCTTTACTGGACGACGCAGTGACCTTGCCAATTTAGAGCACGTCATGTGTCATCCGACACGGCATTCCTGCCCTTAGATGTAGAATCATTCATCTCTTGGTGGCGCTTGGTAAGGCAAAATCGTCGTTCATCCCCGACACGATTTCGTTCAATGCCGCGTTGAATGCATGCGACAAGAGCAGCCAATGGGTCGTTGCGGTAGACATTCTCAGAAGAATGCAGTCGGACAGAGTCCAAGTTGATGTCGTGGCCTGAGTGTTGTCCTGGAAAGTTGCATGTGTTCTGGAAGGTTGATTCAAATAAAGCATGTCCGACATGTCCCCCAGTGCATGGACTAAGGCCATCACGTATACTTCTGTGCTTGGTGCATGCGAGCACTCCGGGCAATGGGAGATCACACACATTCTGTTGCACAGGGTCATTGATGGCGGCTACGACGAGTGGAAGCGAGAAGACATTGATTATGTCCACTACTATCAAGCGGGAGCACCTGCAGACTGCCTGAAACATCTAATCCTCTGCGCCTTGCTCGAGCACTCAGTGCAGGAAGCGGATCCGTTTCTGTACATTGACACCCATGCTGGATCGGGCTTGTACGACTTGAGCTCGCAGGAAGCGATGCGGTTCGAAAACTACCGCAGTGGCATTCAGAACTTAGCCACTTCTCAACAGGCAACCACTTTGCGCACCATGCATGGCTTCTTCAGCGCTGTTCGATTGGTGAATTTCGCACTTGGAGAAGAATCGCTTCGCTACTACCCTGGTTCACCGGCTATCGCACAACACTTCTTGCGGCCTCAAGATTCAGCCCTGGTTTTTGAGGCATCAAGGGAAGTGTGCGAAGTCCTCCAAGACAGCCTGCTGAAGCTAAAACAAGATGCAGGCTCTGCTTTGTCAACGACAGTTGTCTGTGCGAACTCCTATGAATGGTTCGCCAGATATCGTGAAGTCCCTGCAACGTCAACCTCCAGGGTGCTTGCTCTACTCGATCCACCTTACGATTCAGCAAGCTCGTCCGACAAATGGAATTTGTTTCTCCTGAAACACCTGAAAATGAGATGGCCTTCCAGCTGCATCTTGCTGTGGTGTCCTCACATCGCCGACAACGAGATGAATCTTGGACTGGCTTGGTGAGGCCGCACAAAGACCAAACAGCCATCAGTGGATCATCTTTGGTTGTTTTGTGAGATGCACATGGGAGCTCCTGGGAGACATGCATGGGGAGGCAGACAGAGAGAGAAGTCCTTAACCTCACAAGGACATACAAGGACTTGGGAATCGCACGCACACACACACTCATGACTCATGTGTATATATATATACACATACACATACCCAGGCTATATACATATATATATATACACATATTTGTGAAACAGAAGCCTTCAGGGTCTATTTGGCCCGGTAATTGATTCAATTACTTCAGTTCAGTTAACTAATGTAGTTAATCTAATTAGTGGAATTGGCTTCAATTCTACTAATTAAACTAACTGAATCATTGAAGTCGGCCGGTGGATTAAATTAACTGGTTTAATGGATTCGGCTTCTAGCCTATTAAGTAATAAAGCAAATAAAGTAAGTAGATTGGGTGGAGATCTATAGATTCCCTTAACGCTTGGCGCTGGGAATTGCGTTCAATTCTATAAATATATAAAGCGGCTGGTGGGTTTAGTTTAATTGATAAAATTGGCTTCAAAAATATTTATTACATTAATGCATACTGAAAATTCAATAGATTCGTTAAATTGGGCGAAAATCTCCAGATTCCCTTTACCTTTGGCTCTGGATTCCAAGCAACTTAACCAAGTTAATTGATTTGATCCATTTAATTAATAGAATTGGCTTCAATTCTATCAGTTAAATTAATTGAATTGTTCAAATCGGCCGGTGGATTTAACAATTTAACTGCCTTAGCTTTATCTTTTTGAAGCATGGTGATGTATTGCAGTGGTGAAAGAGGGGCGATCCTATCCTGTGATCTCTTAATGTCCTGATCATGCCTTTGGTTGACTATACAGCCGAGCCTCCAAGGGCAAAACCCTTGGGGGGGAAACTTTCCGCCAATGAACTGCGGGTGCACGCTCGCGCGCGGGGCGGGGTGGCCCGGACGCTGCTGCCTTCCTCATCCTTCCTCTGCCCCTGTAGAGAGGTCGAGAGACAGACAGACGGACAGACAGACAGATAGACAGATAGAAAGGGCGGGCAGGGGTTCCTGTCTTGTTTGGCTGAGTGGAAAGAAGCCTATGTATGTATTTGCCCAAACACCCAGCCAGCCAGCCAGCCCACCCACCAGCCCAGATAGGAATTTGTGTATCCACTCACTTATTATCTACCCATGCTGCTTTCTATCCGTCTGTTTATTGCCTCCCTCTGTTTTCTTTCTGTCTCTCTCTGTTTCGGGTATGCTTCTCCGATTGTCTCGTGTGCCTGTGTGGAAGCTTGGCAAACTTTCTGCGGTCCCAACTACATCACTTTATCGGTACATCATGCATTGATTCTGAGATTTTGTTCTTGTGGCAGCAAGGACTCGCTTTCAACAGCGTCTGGTCAATCTGCAAGTGGGTGATGTACTTGCAGCAGATGTCAAGACACTCACTGAAGCCTCTGCTGGAGATCTCACGGAGTCAAGGCATTGAATGCTGAAGTGCTACTGCTAGAGCTTGGGATGTCTTTGCTCAAGGTTTGCTGTCAATTGTTGCTTGTGTCTTTTTTGGCAGGTCATCCGTGCTTGTCGTTAACCCGCCTGCTGCTCTTGAGAAGCAGCTGGGCCCTGTCTTGGAAGAATTGCAAAAAAGCCTCTCAAAGGGAGACTTCTGCCGTGCTGCCTCGACATCTCTGCGAATGCTGCCGAAAAAGGTAGGCGACTGCATCCGAAAGCGACTGCACGTTGACTATGAAAGCTTCACGCACAATATGACATTGCGTACGTCCCAGGCTGAAGCTGCAACGGTGCCTGGGCAAGCTGTGCGCTTGCAGACGCGCCTTTTGGTCTAAACTCTAAACATCTCCTTCCCATGCTTCTGGATATGTCGACAGTTGTCGGCACGAAATCAGGTGGACATGCATCCATCTTGGGCGGACTGGTCTGGAATTATTCCTGGTGCTGCCTGCAAAAAGCCGGCAGCCTGCCACGTGTCAGCCCTGCAGTGCAGGCCTTTGGTGAATGTACTCCTGGGCACGACCCCACGAGGGTGGCAGGCCACTGCTTCCCAGCCAGCTACCTTTCGCAGCAGCTGCATCAGCAGGTCTTGCTCCAGTCACCGTACGACACCACGACAGTCCTTACCTTTATTAATGGGAAGCAATTTTACTTGCCAGCCTCTTATTCGGTCTTTGTCGATGCATGTTTCCTCCACAATCCAGAATCTTCTGAACCCGAGGCGCAGAATTGAATTCACGTCCCCCTCCGAGAACAGTCTGGACGGGGAAAGTCATCAGCTCAATATGAACTGCCCAAGGCGTCAACCGTTCTTCCAACACTCTTTCAATCAATCGACACTTCCCGTGAAAGGTTTCGACATGGAGATGCAGCTCGTGCACAATGCAGTATCGCACCAAGTTCGATTGACAGCACTTCAGCAGCTGCATGCTGTCATGCGGGCTCCTTTCCGCAACGAGGCTGCAGATGGCCAGCTCCTTGTCACTTCTGTTTTTCTGAAGGTGCGCCCAAGCGTTGCATGACGAAGTGAACTCTTGCAGCAGAACTTGTCAATCCTGGCCATTTCCCGCATGCCGCGAGCTGGTTGTGCACTTGTCAGCTCGTCCTTCTACTCTTGCCCTGCGGCCACCGGTGGTACAGTGGTACAACTGCAGGCAACTGACATGCTCTTCTCTCTTTCAATGGGCAATTCTTGCCAGAGACGATCGAAACTGGAGAAGCATGGCGCCCTGTGTTACTGTGTTCCGATTCCACGTGTCAACTTTGCGCCCATGCTGAGAATCGTGTGAAGCCATTCCGGCACATAGCAAAGTTTAGCCTGCCCGGCAGGGCCTGCCCCGGTGTGTGCAGGCAGCTGGTGAAACTGCAACTGCATGGATAACGACGGTTTCACATGATAGTGACAAGCGACAGACTTTAGGCTTTAACAATCTTCAGCTGACATGCAGGTTCTGGGAGTCGAGAATGGCAAGGAGACAAGGTGAATCCAGAATCCCAACATCTGCAAAAAGCTCAATTCTCCCTTGCTGTATTGGCAGCTGACTGTTCGAACAATGCCTTGCAACCTCGCCTATACACGTGGCATTGTCGCTGCGGGCCCCCGCTTTGCCAGTGTCCGCGATGTTAAAACAAGCCACATTCAAATCCGCAAGGAAGTTCAGTTGTCCGCAGACGAACCAGTGTCACAGACTTAGTTGAAAGCAGTGCAGAACAGCGCATGACAGGCTGGCCGTGACTGGGCGATACTTCAGCCGTCTCACGACACGACGGCCTCACGCACAAAGCGCCTGGCCTCACAAAGCGTAACGACCCTGCCGCTGTGCCTCATCGTCGTCATCATCATCATCCTCTTCGAGTCTCTTCTCCTTCTTCTTCATTACAGCAGCCTCAGCCACCACAGTGATGGCAGTTGTCATCGTCATCTTGACATTGACCTTTCGGATGACCGTGATGATTGACCTCTATTGAACTGATGGTTGTTGTATGCTTTGGTTGGCCAGAGGCCATTGCCGGGAGCCCATGTAAAGACAAGCTGATCGACAATTTCAACAGGTTTGGTAGATGCCAAGCCCGGAGACGTGCACACCTCAGGCATGCAAGCTAGACTCTGCTAGACCTGTGCAACGTGCCAGACACCACCCTCACAAGCTGTCAACAACCACAAAGCATAAAGCTGAGGATGCCACGTCCATGCGCCACCACATGAACTGCAACCACTAGTTGCCCCCACGCCGATGACGATTGCAATCCGGGGAGCACCATCGAATCCGAACCAGCGCGCCCATCCAAAAGCACGTGGCCTCTCTCCGGAGGGGAGAACAGCTTATCGACCTTCTACTGATTTGTGTTGGTTTTATGTGCAAATTGTTGGTATGCGGTACGATCTGTGCCTATAGACCATGCGTGTGTGTGTGTGTGTGCGCGTGCTGCAGTGTGCGAACAAACACTACCATCTAAGCATGCGCTTCGTGCTGTATAACAGGGTCCTTGATGACTTTGTCAGGTTGGACTTGTGGAGGGCAACGAGTATCTGAACACGTGCCTGACAGACATGGCAGCTGGGCAGGACATTGGTATTGTTTCATCGCGCCGCTGAGGTTTTGGCCACAGTTTCCATCTACAGTCAGCGAAGATGGGCTAAGTGCTCAGTCGCAGTCCACAACCATGTAGGCTTCTGTATTAACTGTTCATGTGCTCAGGGTTCAGGCTGAGATCGCGAACCCCTTCTATGCGCTCCCAGGCGCTGCACTCCTTTGCCCTGTGTGAATTCCTGCACTCATAGGTTGCACGGTCAGGTGACAGGTCGCTTTATGCATTCAATGGCAGCTCCACGGTCCCTCCCTGCGGGACCGGGGCTTGCTCCGCGAAGCATGTCGCGGGCGAGTTGTGGCAAGCTTGCAAGGACTGACACCATCTGGATGGTCTTCAAGCAGCCGCTGATGATCAGCAGGGCGCAGCGCGACCTTTACAGGGCTGTGCCTTGACTGCCATCATCCAATGCGTTATGCAGGTGGCTTTTGCATGCCTTCACACCCGTGCAGGCCCTGAATCTGAGCGCCCCGACGGGCTTCCTGCGCTTCGGATCTGCTCCATCAGGCGGAAGACATCCGAAAGAACAATTTGGAAGCGTACCATGACATCCGTTGTGCCAGAGCAGACGAACGACTCAGCCCATGCCGGTTCGCAACAGCAGCTGCTGATGCTTGTTGGGGGCCAACATCTCAGAAAGGCGTTGTGCAGCCCTGGAATACCGATTTGGGCATGAACACTCGGCAGCGAACTGAGGCATCAGCACGTGTAATCTTCATAAATCTCAGCTACAAGAAGTTCCCTATCTGATGGCCCTATCCGTTGCTGAGGCTTCCGCAGCCTCAGGGGGTGCGGCAGGCCCTTGCTGTTGTCAAAGATGGTAAAGGAATGTTTGCTATTCAGCAAGGTTTTGCTGCGCAGGTTGCATTCTTTCCGATGTCGAACCCACCAAGTCAGCTGCAGACCCAGCCCGACCGGAACAGACAGCTTAAACTTAAGGATCTTCACATGCAGCGCAGTTCTGCTCAGGATGCCCTTCGACTTAACTAGTGGCCACTTCTGGGCCGGCCTCTGATTTGTACACGAAGACGTTGCAGAGCACAGAACTTTAAATTCGATACCTCAGGGTTTCTTTGGAATCGGCCTGCTGCTCCTGTCGGTTTTCGTCGGTGGTGGCCCCGGCTGCCACCTCCGTGCAGCCACAGTGACGAGGGTAGAATAGTGCAGCACAATCGGTTCTTTCGGGGGCTGCTCCCCAAAAATCACAGAGTGAAATGCATGTGGGGTTTTGACAGATTCGATTTTAAGAAACCCTGCTAGTGGTGGTGGTAGTAGTAGTAGTAGTAGCAGCAGCAGCAGCAGCAGAAGCTAATCTAGCCTCCTTGTTGGCTGAGCAAACCCAGGCGTTCTGGCATTGCTTTGCTTGCTGTGCTCCGGTGGCGTGTGAGGCTTACATCTGGTAAGTGCTGTGCTCACAGGACAAGCCTGCTGAGAGGCCGCTTGCTTGTTGTGTTTATCCGCTCACTGTCTAAGGCACGTGCCAAGGGCCGGGCGCGGAGCAAGGATTCAGAGCCTGAAGTTCTCTGTCACCAAGCATGAGAAATCTATACCGTTGGAAGGAAGTGTTTCACCGCAGTGAAGAAACCGACGAGGACTGCACCCGCGATCTCCCAAGCCAAAGCCACTCCTCGTGAACTGCGGTAGCATCCCAGGACCGGCAGCCTTTATACAGGCCAGGGTGAATCGTTTTCAGATACAGTCGAAAGCTCCAGACTCGGTGGTTGGCAGGTCACCTGAGCCTGCACCGACGCAGTGCTCGCCCCGGACACCGTTCTGGGCGTTTTTCTTTTCTGGTGACAGATGTTGATGCTCGATGTCGATGCAACTGACACCTTCTTGGCAGCAATGCCATGAAGTGCAGTTCTATCCATTAGCTGACAGCCTCCGAGATTGATTGCAACAGCATGCACTTTTCACATGCGATGCCTGAAAGCAGACATGCAACACACATGGCAAGTTTCAGTCCTCACTTGCAGTCCTCCGGCTCAGGATGCATCGCATGCCTATGCCTACGCAGCCGCAGTGGCCGGCTAACGCAGGCAGAGGCAGCATGCGGTGACAAGAGTTGAACCTATGTCATATATTCATTGGTGCGAGGAATCTCTGACAGATGATGTCTTGAGGGGATACATGGGGGTACGCCGATAGCTTATGCCACTCGCAGTTGCAGGTATGATGACGCGGCCTCAAATCCCTCAGATGTCTGGCGCACGTGCGTCCACCCTGGCATGTGCTCACTGTCCATGGCTCTGCTGGGTTTGATGGCCAGACTCAGACGAACATGTCAGGCCTGCGATGACCCAGCCCATGAACTTCGGCGGCGCGCCGCAAACCCGCTTCGTAATGCGACAGTAGTAGCTCGAGTCTCAGGACCAGCACACAGCCTTTGCATGGCAAGCTTGCAGATTTTCTCTTTTCGATTAAAGCTTGAGGCTGTTGAAGCGCTGATATTGCGAGAGGTTAACGAAGGCATGCGACGTGAGCGTCAAAAAGAATGCAACTTGACGTTGATGGTCCAAGTTTGAGGAGCTTTGTCACGTCGCGGAAGTTGTGCACTCCAACTTCGGCCCGAAGGGTTACATAGAGCAGCCATGCAGAGTGATGCTCCGACGAAGAATAGCGATGGCCGAGATGGCCACACATGTGTGGCGACATGTATCATGGTGCATGGCATGGGAGGCACTTGTGCAGACTGGCAAACGTGGATGGACCTTTTGAAGCACAAGTATCCGGACTGGACTTTGTGGCCTTTGCAGACGATTACCCGAGGCTGTAGATTTCTAGGGAAGGATTTGCGGGAACTCTCGTCTATAGCAGCGGATGAAATAATTGGAGTTATCCGTTCCAACGAAAAGAGGAATGCGCGGACAACCTTGCACTGCCTCGGACACTCGATGGGTGGACTAATCATTCGAGGGGCTCTTCCCAAAGTGCTTGAGGAGTGCAGTGGGGTAGAGCTCGGTCACTATGTCTCCCTCTCGTCTCCCCATTTGGGCATCCAGTCGAGTTGGCTACACCCCTTGCACTCATGGAGAAATTTTTGCTGGCTTTCGAGGCCTCTTACGAACCAGCTTGCAAACCTCGCTATCCAGGACACCGCAGGACCCGCGGGACGACTGCACACTCCATTCCTACTGGAATTGAGTCAGCCCGAGAGCGACCACATGACGGCACTTGGAAAATTCAAGAGCCGAACCTGTGTGAGCCTGGCCTTCGGTGACCCTCTTATCCCAGCTGCATCGGGATTGATCGATCCGAACTTGCTCATGGAAAGCCATAGCTCCTTCCACGAGTCCTTCTGGCATCTTACTTTTGATGAATCCTGGCCGCAGGCCAAAGCTGTCGGGCAAACTGGCAAGGTGGGAGCTGCCAGCTACAGTAGTCACAGTAGCCCCTGTCATCCCTGTCCACGCTGCATGAGAAGTAGGAGAGAGAGAGAGAGACTTCCCTTGGACGGGGGTTTGCACAGTTGTGACCTCTGGGCCTCATCGAGTAGTGTTTGCGAAGACCAGAGACTTCCAGGGCGCGCGCGCGCGCGGGGAGGGGTGCTGACGTGCCCTTCTTCAGTCTGTGTTGAAGAAGACTTCGGAGCAGGACGGTTGTCGCTGTACACATCGGTACCATACTAAGGCTACTAAGGCTGTTCAGGGCTGGGGCATCAACTGGATTTGGCGATCATTTGCGCTACGATGCATGCCATGCAGAGCACACTACAATTCGGTTCCCGCGGGCAAACGTTGCGGCCAGCACTTAATGGCCGAAATGAGTCTGTCGGGAGCTGTGTTTCAGAAGTCAGCTCATCGGAACCTTCCCTGATCCCTCACTGTACGTTCCAGGCTGCTGCTGGCTTCTGGAAGTTTCCGGCCCTGCTGCTCTCGCTCGTACACCTTTTTTTGCATGGCTTCTGTCGCCTCACTCTGGGCTTTCTGGGCCTTTGCGGAATCGCGGCAATGTCCTCATCCAGGACTTTCGTCTGTGCTATGGCTGGGCCCTTGCTGGGATTTTGCGTAAGCCGTAAGCCCTGTCACAGGAAATCGCCAAGCAATGCGCATTTGTCTCCGGACTCTTCGCCCTCCGAGAGTCCTAAAGGTCGGAGCATTCGCTCCGAGATGTCCTGGGAGCTGTCGCAGGAGAGCGCGTAGTCCGTGTATGCCTATGCCTGCGGTGCTTTGACGGGTCTGCGTAGAAATCGTGACTTCAGTCTGGTGAGGCGGATACTGTCACGCCATGCTTCGACTGCAGGACCTGAAATGCAAGTATCCGGCAGTGACTGGCCACAATTTGAAGGGTTCATAAAACCTTGCACAAACAAGCTGCATCTTGGCCGTGGCTAAGGAGGTCTACGAAGGACTTCTTTCCGTGCCATGGCGCCGTGTAGTAGCCAATGCGCATCATCGCCCGATGCCGCGCAACATGTATTTCGGAAGCACAATACAGAAATCACCATGGCCTTTCTTGCATTTTCTTTCTTGTTCACCGAAAGGCACGTCTTCCTCATCGGCAAGAAGTCTGAGCGGTTTGACCGAGAGATGCCCAGCTGCAAAAAGGTTCAATTTAATGCTCGTGGTTGGCCATGACGCGCGAGTGACTCGCGATTGAGATCTTCCTTTGCAAGCGGAGCTTGAGGCACCAGATGTCCAAAAAGTGCATTGAGCACTTGGCGGACTTATTGGACTGAGAAGGAGACTGTAAATCCACGCACTCTTATTCTCGTGCCTATGCTTCAGCATGCACTTGCTCCTTTTGTCCAGCAGCAGGCTAGTGCACTCGATGCCTCAGCTGCCGAAGTCAGCGTGAAGCACGGAGTTACGGAGTACAACTTATTGGCATTTGGCATAGAGGCTGTTAAGCAGTCCAAGTGTACTTCGTCGCATTCCTTGCAATAAGAAAAGGGTTGACAAGACTTGGATCAGGGGGCGGCAACGACTTTGATATCAGGGCGCCAGGGCAAACGATCCCTTCCAGCGCTGTTCCAGCTCAAGTCGGCCAGGGCAACCGGTGTAAGAGTGCCGTGCAAGTGAAAATCTCGCAAGGGTTTCGCTCTAGAACTGCACCGACCTGCACCTATTCCGAAACGTTCGACGGAGCCTCCATGGCCACCGAGTTTCCGCAGCGCTCACAGCGGTGCAGGCAGGCATTCTTACCACTGTACAGAGCTAGAGCAAACATTAGCAGTTGGGCAAGTATAGGAGTGAAAGCCGCCAACTTCCGCTAAATGAGGCAGAGTGCAACACCTTGCCAGGCGATGCTGTTTGCTGTCTACACTCGCGGTGTCTATCAAGTTCAAAAGCGTTCTCCTCAAGGGAGAAAGTGCGTGTATTCACAACAGCATCGACTATTCCTTGCAGGCCACAGGCAAGTGCCAGAGACGGCTCCTCCGCTGCGCTTGGGAGTTCTTGGTGTCCTGGGAGTCTGCTTGGCCTTCAAAACGAAGTGTGCTTGAGGCATGGCTTGAGGTGGTGGGGCACAGAGCACCTACTGCAACTTGCAGCAGGGCTGGCATTGGCTGGTCAGGCGCGAGCCATCGAAGTTCAGACGTCAGAAGATTTGATACTTTCTTTTGACTTGTGATGCTGGGCTTTGTGGCAGGGGCAGTGGCGGCCTAGTTTTTGTGTTCTTGTGGTTTGGTGCTAAAGCCAGCAAATTTTCAAGTGACGCCATGAAAAGGGTGCTGCTGCTACTGGTAGCACGAGCAAGCAACCGGTGCTTACTGCGGTGCTCCACATGTTGCCGACTTCGGACATTGGCTGGGAGGGCCCTGGCGACCAAGCCGACCGAACCCCGTGGTTTGCAACTTGTTGTTTTTGCTGTTGCCTGTTGGTGGACTGC